CTGGACCTGATAAGATTTCGTAAAGATAGCAGATGTTTGACCTAGATTATTATCGTTATCAATAGTTGAATGACACAAATTACAATAATTAATAGATTTCGAAACAGGATATGGAAAAATACAAGAATGATTAAATATAGACTTAATAATATAAGATGTTAACAATATAAAGGTAGTTATGTAGGGGTATAACAGCAGAAACAATCCTCAGTTAACCCGAGGTTGAAATTAACATTGGATTAGTCAACCCCAGAGTTACTCTCAATTGAGAAACCGCCCCTCACTTAGGTGTATTCAAGACGGTGCAAATAGACATTAGGTAATCACGATTTTTAAAGTGAAAATATACATAGTGTATTTAGGTTGTATTTTTATTGTTATTGATAATGTGTTACCATTTTCCCACTATAAGTTTAATAAACTCGTTAATTTTTTGATCCAAGACTTTGAATAAACTGGTCTGCCTGAAAAATGTCCACGCACTTAATTAATGACCGATAATAGGTCTGTTTCTGCAGAAATCACAAACCAGTCAGAGTGAATTTCATTGGTTGAAACTAGTTTTCTGACTGTTTCTGACTGTTTCTGACTGTTTATAACTAATCAAATTCGCTCTGACTGGTTTGTGATTTCTGCAGAAACAGACTTATTATATCACACGCTGAATATGTGTGATATCATATCACCCCGATTTTTAGGAATTGTAACTACTGATGAATAGTTATTAGATAATTATTCTCAACATTAACCCTTTGGGCCCTGTTTTCAATTACAAACTGGGTTTAATGTTCGTAAGCAACCACAATCGAATGAAAAGTTATGGGTACTTTCATCACTTTCCGTCACATTTTTAATTTTTTTTAGATTTCATGACATCCTTGTGATATAAGCTTTACTTTAAGACTACATTTTTTTAAATCGGACAAAAATTAAAAAAGTTACGGGCAAATAAAATCCAGGGCGACCTTTTTGGTAACACCTTTTCTCAGAATAGGGTAGGATTTCTAAAAAAATACGCAAGCTTAGCCTCCCTGTATAGTTAACTAGGCTTGTCTAGACTATGTATTTGCCAAATTGAAAACAAAAATCCCGATATGTAGCTTGCAGGGCGCGTCAACATCGATAATTAGAAGGCATGCTTTATGGTTTTCGGACCCACTTTACTGGGTCACCCTGTATAATTAGAGATTTGGTGCAATGATGAAAAATTCTTATTTCTGCTAGTACTACAACATACCAATTTTTTTAAAAAATCGACCGGTACCCGAAAACCCATAAGATGTGTGCCATATCCTTTTACAAAAGTAATCAAAACTCAAGGACGGCAGTCAGTTAATGTTTGGTGTGGTGTTTTGAATAATCGAGTCATTTATTGGACCAGTTTTCTTCGAGCGCTCGTTAACAGGAGAAATTTATTTGGGCTTTTTACAAAATTTCTTGTCAGATTTTTTGGAAACTCTGCCACAAACGCAGCTAAGAATGTTAACATATCAGCAAGATCGTGCCTCACCCCATAATGTTCGTGGGGTTCAAAATGTTTTAAATGAAAATTTCAATGGATGGATTTCAATCAAACGGATATAAAATTGTAAGAGTTGACAGTGTAAATAGCCATACAGGGGAAGTAGTAGTATATGTAAGAAATTATATAGAAATTCAGTGTTGAAAAATATTCATATTTAAAGAACTATTGGTTAGCAAATATTACTCTATCCATCGATAAAAAAATATATATTGGGGTCTGTTTGTATCATTCACCAAGATAATTCCCCAAGTCAAAAATTTAGTAACTATGTTGGCAACACAATCCTTTTCTACATAAAAAATTTGAAAGCATTGACAATTTTACATTGTATTGCCAACATAATGTCATTTTGACTTTTATCTTTAAAAAAAAAAGAAGACTTTATAATTGATTTGGTATTTTTGAATGACTTGAATATTAAGTGTCAAGTTGATTCAACTCCAAAAATCAGCGATCATTACATTATCTCAATAAGTACCTACCTATGCAAATAAATTGAAAATGCCGATAAAAAGATTTTTGCACGTGGAAAAATCACTCACGTGGATCTTAATCTGAAACAAGGCAGGACGAATTGGAACTACTCACACAGTAATATAGACGATAAATACCGCTCTCTATACCGGGTGACAATGAAACTACTACCCATGGTGGCATTTCTAAACGGCTCGGGATAAAAATATGCAACTCGGTTCGTTGATAGGATTGAAAATTGTGAACAATTTAAATATAAAAACAATTCAATGTCTTTTCCGGTTTCACCGGAAATGGCATTGGCTTTGTTATTTCAAATGGGACACCCTGTATATTATCTTTTTTTTGGACTCTTTGAACAATTCTAAATAACTTTTGTCCTACAAACTCCATGTCAAAAATTGATAGTTTTTGAAATAGAGCCGTTTAAAGATATGTCGTAATCGCTATTTGTTTGTATCTTACGTAAAAACTGAGTAGGCTAGAACAAAAACAATCATGGTTATTTGCTTCTTATTCAAAGAGGTATTCGATAAATATTCAAAGAGAAGAATTAATGCAAGTTAACAAAAACGCGTTTTTCGAAAATGAATGTTTCAGTTTTTGATCGGACCCTGTACGAAAATGGTTCAACTTATGGAAATGAAACTTCCACTACCCAATCCTACTTTTTTATCCTTTATCCAAATATGACAAATTCAACCTTCATAGACACTTGCAAAATTGAAAATTTGATAACCCATTTTCACGTTGTTGGTACTCATCTAAAGGCGACAGATTTTTGAGCCACTCTATTTTAAAAACTATCAATTTTTGACATAGGGTATGTTAGACAAAAGTTATTTAGAATTGTTCAGAGAGTCCAAAAAAAAGATAATATACAGGGTGTTTCATTTAAAATAACAAAGTCAATGCCATTTCCGGGAAAACCGGAAAGCCATTAAGTTTTTATTACATTAAAATTGTTCTAAATTTTCATTCCTATCGACATCCAGAATTGCATATTTCTATCTCGAGCCGTTAAGAAATGCCGCCGTGGGTAGTAGTTTCATTGTCACCCGGTATAATACCATAAAAAATGCCTTAGATGAAATCGCGCCTTTGAAGAAAGTAGTTATGAAGGGAAAATATAAAAAATGGTGGAACGAAAGTGTAAGCAAATAAGCAGCAGACAATTTTTTCAAAAATCAATGACACAAGAAGACATGGAATACTTGGAAGGTTAACTTTTGGACACTCCTACATTCAATGCAGCTGTGAAATTAATAAGCTAGGGTTTTGAAGTTTTATAAGTATTACAATTACATTTTATTTTAGGTCATTGATATTGCCAGAATGGGTGGATCGAATATCTACGATTTTGTCAGGCGGGTTTTTTCGGCAAATGATGTCCGACGATTTGGCTCAAGAGTATTCATTCTATGGTGCAAAAAAGAAGAGAATATTCAAAGATACAAAACTATGGGATGTTTGAATGCGTTATGATTTTTAGATTTTAAATTCCCAATATTTGAAATCAATATTTTCCCTAGCTACATTTAAAAAGCGATCTACTATTGATTCTAACTTTGTTTTTATCACAGAGACAGCAGCCCGTACAGAGCTGGGGGATAACAAGGTCTTGGAGAAACCTATAAAAAAATATCTAAGAAGAGTGCGAAACAACCAAAGGAAAACATTAAAAGCTATTAGGTTTAAAGGTGAAATTTAATTAAATATTATAAAGAATATTATTTTAATAAATTTATTTTTGACCAAACATTTTTTTTTTCGGTTCCAATAAAAATTTATCCATCTATTGTGCAATGGATAGCCATAAAAGGTACAAAACGAAATGTACATATATGGACGTCCAATTTTGTGAACTTTGTATAGTCCATTGTACGTCCATAATATGTCCAATGTCCAGAACTGTATATCTAGAGGATATTCGATGTGACCATACATATGCATTCAATGGATGTCCAATGGATGACTTTGTGCTGTTTGGGAATATGGGTTATGTGTACCATGTGCAGCTGCTGGGTACACGAAAAATGTGCGATGCCGGAAAATACCCATACTCCATACATCTGCGATTTTTGTTCCTAGTGGTTCTTATTCTTACCACTTTTTATGTTACTTTATTTTCCATGAAATAAAGATATTATTTTCCAATAATATTTTGCTTTGCTTAAAAACAAAAATATATTTCAATATCAAGTGTGATATTCTCACCTATTCCACATTAGGAAATATTGGTATTCCACATTACCCACCCATTTTTCTGCTTGAAAACAAGTTAAAAAAAAATATATTTCATTTAAAATTTTGCCATGAAAAGCACAATAAATTTTATTTTGCTTTTTCTTGCAGATATTTGGAGTCTTTCCTATATGAAGATTTGTCTTTTCTAAACAGGTTTACTATGATGGAAGGAGAAAGAAAAAGTGCCCCCAATTTTTCGGTTAATGAAAAAACTATTTTGTTGAATATTATTCATAACTTTAAAGAAATAATTGAGAATAAAAAAAATAAATTCGTGCTTGGCAACAAATAAAAGAAATGTTCAACTCTCAAACTCCAGACACACATCCAAAAACTAAAGATGCGTTACGGAAGTTTTACAACATTTAAAAAAAAAAAATGTGAGAAAGGAAGTGGCTGAGGAAAAAAAAATATATATTTTTGAAACAGGTGGTGAAGTGATTTGGTGTGCAGGGACGCAAACAAGTAATCGCTATCAATAAGTTCTCCCCCCCCCCCGCATCGCTCAACGTTAGTCGCCAAAATTGCCATCACAAACGAACGTTTGTCGAAATTTATCGATTAAATCGATTCGAAAATTGTTGACACTTTAAACGACCCCGCTGCTCAAAGTTTGCCAAAATCAACAAAATTATGGAAAGATGCAGCCCTGCAATTGAATGCGCTGGGCTTGGGTGAAAAAACCGCTGATAAGTGGAAATTGGCCTTGCAGGATTGGAGATATAAAACTAAAAGTAAGTGGCCGAAATTAAAGATCACGAAAAAAAAACCGGTGGTGGACCCCCGACAAAAATCAAACTCAACGAGCAGAGAGAGACACTGATGAATATTGTGGGTTGGACTGCAGTAGTGGGCAACGAAAATGTTCCCGAGTGTGGCTTGACCAAAACTCCACTTGTACTTGAACTTTCTGCACCAAGCACATCTTTGTTTTCACAGGCTGAGGTTAGACCTTTGAAAACACCTATTGTACAAGAGCTGCAGTTTTCAGAAGACAATTTACATGCAGTAGAACAAAATGTCCAATCACAAGAACATGTTCAACATGTAGGTAGAATGTTCGTCAACCCAGAGTCAGCTCCAAAGTAAGCAAAAACAAAAAACTGACAATTCTTCCAAAAGAAAAAATGTCAACAGTGATGACGTCTTGGTTGCCTACCAAAGAGAGACAATAAAAGTTTTGAGAGAAATATCCACTGGTTTCGAAAACTCGAACGTACAATTAACATCAATTGCACATATTATTATATCACTATTTCCTTTGAATCTTTATCAATAAGGTCAAGTAATTAGTTATATATTTTACTTTATTTACTTCAACCGTGTTATGCAAAAGACGTTGCCTTTTAAATGATAAAGAAAGAGTTTGATTTCCAAATTGGGTGAAATTTTCTTGTTTTAGATGTTTTCAGCTAACGTTTTATCTTACTTCAGGGTCATAAAACGGGTGGCGTCCAAAAGTATAGGTACCTATTTTCTAAAGTTCTGTTCTGATTTAACCCTCGACCACTCTCGACTGGAGTTCAGCTGGCATTCTCAGCTCTATAAGGTAGAAACCAAGCTCCTTTTCTCAAGCTCATTTATGTAACCACCCTCATTCCGGTCATTTCCGTTTTGCTACTAAACAAATGTATAGCAAATGATATAAAACAGCTTGAAAAAGATGCACAGTTTCAACGCCGGGCGGGCTGTAAAATGCCTTTAGGAGTCTTGGGCACTACGGAATTCCAGTTATAACTAAATAGTCTCGCCAATCGACGAATATTATTTTTAAGTTGTTAAGAGAATATTTTTTTCATTATTGCCGAAAATTAATGGGGAATACCGAGTTTCAAAGACACTATAGAAAAAGAGTTTAACCAAAAAGGCTTGACAATGCTAGAGACACTGCAGCTACCTTAGCAGTTTTTATAGGAAAGAATTCTGCATCGTACTTGATGTTTTAATTATTTTCTTGATAAAAATCTTATAAATGTAGTATCAGTATTTCTGGTATTACCAATATTACCAAGCAAATAAAAAAAATCATCTGTAACTAATTTTCATAGCCAAATAGTTGGGATTTTTAAGAAAGACCAGGATTTTACCTACCTCAATAATATGTTTTCGGGACGTCCTTGTCGGTGTGTGCCAAATCCTGTTCAGGACTTGACATTGGGCCTTATAAACCCAAAAACTGTTATAGGATGAATTCGATTATGACAACTCTAAAAATTAAATCAGCTTTGTTTCAAATCAAGCATGGTGTCGACTGGTGTGGGGTACCGGAAACTGGAAAAGAGAATTCTGATGCACATTTGAAACTTGGTCACATTGAACACACATGTGCTAAAGGCCAAAATACGGAATTATTCATTGAGATTGGTGAATCCTGTAACGTTTAAAGTTACTTGTTTTCTTTCTTTTAAAATTTAACTAAATATAATCCTTTTAAATGTTGACTAACATTTAAAATTACAGGGTTCCCGCTATTTATTATATAGAAAATATTAAACTATTTCACTAGAGGGCGCTACTCTCTTTTAATTTGACACTCGGTTAGTACCAACAATTTCCGTTGTGACTATCTCGAGAGGAAGCGCGGTATTCGTGGTTACCTGGACCGTGGAAAATTGAGGAGGAATTAATTGTCAGACACCGATCCCTATAATACGCGTGCGCGATTTCCGACGTTGCCTAATCTACCTTGTCTCCTTGTCAATAAGAAATATTTTTTGGGTTATGTTATTTTTCTTTTGTTTTTAATGCATTTTTCCAAGATTTTTTCAGTTGGTTCATTGGTTGTGCTTTCCAATCCAGTGATTTTAAAAGTTCTCAGCTAAAAGTTTTGAAATAATCTAAAAATAGAATAAATATGGTTTTACCGTGCGTTCATTGTCAAAAAACTTTCAAATTTCGTAGCAATTTAAATAGGCATCTCCATGTTGTTCATCATGTTGAAGAAGCCGGTCCTTCACGTCCATCATTCAATGGGGTAGCTTGCATTCATTGTGAAAAAATATTTACATATCAAAGTAACTTAAACAGACATTTAAAAACAGTGCATCGATTTGGGAACAAGAACATTGTTTCTTATGAGTTTAATGTCTTCATAAACAAATGTTTTGAATGTAGGCTATCCTATATAAACATAGAACAACTGAGGCACCATCTAACTGATGTTCATTTGAAAACTTTTCCTGAAGAGTCTCTTCAGTTTAATACCAAAGAAAAGTTGTTTTAGTCTGTTGATTTTTTATGCTAGATTCACAAACATATTTTGTTCTTTTCAAGAATTTGATGTCTGGTTAAGAGACACTTGCAGAGCAAGTAATACTCAATATGTTAGACAAAAAACAAGAAAAACCAAAGATTTGGATATTGTGTATTATTACTGCAATCGCAGTGGTAAGTATTTCACTATGATTCTTCCTATTGCTGTGATTGGATATACCTACTGGAGGTTATATTTAATAACAGCGTTGTTCGAAAATTACCTTTGGAAAAACACAAGAATGCAACCAAAGTTCAAACACACTGGTAAATACCGGTACTATGAGTTGTACTGCTCTGATCACTGATGAGATTATGCAATACGTGTGGTTAGAGGTTTTGCTTTATAAAACAATAAAGAAACCTGAATTCTCAATCATTGGTTACTGGCGCTAGTTGCAGACTAGTTTCGCAGTGCAAGATAGGCGAGCACAAAAAATCAGAGAAACAGGTTTAAAATAGATTCAGACCCATTGCATATTCTGATCAGTGATCAGAGTAGTACAACTCATAGTATGAGTATTTATCAATGTTTTTGGAGCTTCGGTTGAATACTTGTGTTATTCCAAAGTTAATTTTTAAACACCTTTATTATTCGACACACTGTCAAGAATTCTTTGATTTTCTGATCCTGATATATATTTAATGTTATCTTTTAGGTAGTATTCGAACTATTCATAATCAAGACAGGAAAAGAACAGCAAAAAGTCAAGGATCTTGCAAGACAGGTAGTGCTTGTACCAGTACTATTTACCTTACGAAGGACAACAAAACAGGCTTATGTAATATAAAATATGTAGCTTTACATTATGCTCATGATAATGAAATTCAGCATTTACGACTTCCAGCTTCTGATCGAGCCGAAAAAGCTGAAAAATTGACCAAAGGCGTTTGTGTTTCAAGGTATGTCTTCATTGGTGATTTAGAAAAGTAACCAGGCCTATAATTTGGGTTTGGAATAAGGACGGTTCAAAACAATCAGACAGTTTATCAATTAACAAAATGGCAACAGCTCGGCTATCACAAATTTCAATAATAAACTGTGCGATTGTTTTGAACCATTCTAGAACCGTGCTTTTTTCAAACCTGAATAGGCCCAATATTATAAATATTGGTAATGCAGAATTATGCAGCTACAGTTTTTTTAAATATTTTGTAAATCAAGATCAATGCTAGCATAAAATAACTTTTTTACTATTTTATATAAAATAAGATTTTTTACTATTTTATATAAAATAAGATTTTTTACTATTTTGGACAAAAAGCCATATTATTGATAATTTAAGAGCTGTTATATAAATCTACTTATAAAAGTAAAATTTGAAATTTCTTTTTCTTTGTTTAAGAATTTTGGAATCAAATAGAGAAAAAATATCATCAGAAAATTTAAAGCGAAAGGACCTATTAACCAGGATGGATATTGCTAATATTAAGAGTTCATATAATATTGCTATTAATGCTGGAGTGAGACACCAAATTGATAGTGTAAGCGTTGAACTGTGGATTGAAGACTATAAGCAGCAGTCAAATACAGTTTTTTATAAAAAAACAAGGTGAAGATCATGATTTTTTTCAAAACAATGACTTCTGTTTGATATTTATGAATATTTCACAAGAATACATGCTAAGAACTTATGGAAATGGAAGCATTGTATGTGTTGATAGCACCCATGGCCCTAATGGCTACGATTTTGAATTGACCACCATTTTAGTTATTGATGAATGGGGAGAAGGATTCCCAGGTGCTTGTATGTTTTCAAATCAAAAAGATACAGAAGTTTTCATTTCCTTTTTTAATAAAATACAGGAGAAAACTGGAATTATAAAAGTCAAAACATTTATGACAGATATCACTAACGTATTTTATAATGCATGGAATGCTGTTATGGGACCAGTAAAATATCAAATTTTCTGCTCCTGGCATATAGATCACGCATGGAGAGCTAATTTGAGCAAAATATCAGAGAAAGTGAAAAGGGAAAGTGTCTACCATGCCTTAAAGGTCTTACAGACTGAAATGGAAGAAGTTAATTTCTTAAAAGAGTTGGAACAATTTATACACATGCTGTATGAGGATCCAGATACTGCTAACTTTGGAAAATATTTTGTTGAAAACTATGCGAATAGGTGTGAAAAATGGGCATATGTTTATAGAAAGTCAGCAGGAGTGAATACCAACATGCACTTAGAATCCATGTATAAAAGCATTAAGTATTTTCACTTAGGTGGCAATATTGTCAAGAGATTAGACAAGGGTATTCATGCTGTAAATAATTATATAAGAAATAAAATTATAGACCGAATGATAAAACAAGTAAAAGGAAAAAATACAACTCATATAAATAAAATTAAAAAAAGGCATGAGACTGCATTGAAAAGTGCATTTGAAATCAAAGAGGAGCAAAATATCTGGCGAGTAAGAGGTGAGGACAAAATTTATATGGTTTCTAAGAATCAGGTGCAGAATTCATCATGCTGTGAATTAAAATGTATCGCATGCAATATTTGTATACACGCATATTGTTGTACATGTGTAGACTATTTTGTAAAAGCTTCAATATGCAAACATATACATTCTGTGATCCTTTTTAATCATGATGATATAAAAGAAGAAGAAAATAATAATTTGCTTCACGATAGCAATAATAATGAAATGGATGTGCATTTTAAAACACTGGCAGCAAGTAATATAAGTACAGAAAAACCCACACGTGAGTTACTCAAACAACAATGTTTAGAGGTTCTGAAACTAGATTTGTCTGGCATAGATGACACTGTTATCGAGCACGCTTTAAAACAGCAAAGGAACATCACTAATTTATTAAAAGGCAAT